GTACCAATGAGGTTTGATGTAACTGATGTGTTGCCATATATGATTTGGGTATGACTAAACATGAGTTGATTAATGATTTGATTTGATTTGAGAGTGGATCACTAGCCTACCTAAAAATAAAAATCCTGTCATTTACTCACCCTCACGTTCACGACTTTTGTTCATTTTCAAAACACACGTTTAGGTTTCCGTTTACCATATAGTGTTCTATAGTGTTCTGTGTTGATCAATACATGAATAAAAGTTCAATTAAATCTGTTCGTCATATAAAGCCATCATGTCTCTTCAGAAGACTTGGATAATATTAAACCACTCAATACATATGGATATGTTTTAAAGAACTTTATGAAGTGTCAAAGTTTCAGAATTTTCTAACCCTTTAAGTTTCAGTCATGTTCAGCATACATGTTCAGCAAGTGATTGTATTAAACCACTGGAGCATGGATTACACTAGTTGTGGAACTTGAAACTCCAGTCACTTTTATTGTATGGGCAAAAACAACTAAAACATGCTTCAAATATCTTTTTTTGTTTTGTTCAGAGTCATAGTCAGAAACAATATAAAGGTGAGCAAATGATGGAAGAATTTCTGTTTTTGAGTGAACTATTCGTTTACATTTGAGAAGCGCAAACAAACAGTACTTAATTTTCTTCTAAATCGTGAATAAAATGTCCTGGGAGATTAGCCCGATGGGGTCAACCAATTCATATGTTCAGCATACTGACCTGCACTGCCAGTCAAGAATTTCAGATTCAGGCCCAAGAGAGCTCTAAAACACTTCCAAGTGTGCATTTAATGTTCAAGGAGATCATGCAGTAACTATGTGAGACAATATATTCAAACAGGCAGAATCATGTTGTGGTTTGGCATGTGATAGGGATGCTAGGAGTTAAACTTAACTTTGTGACAGAGAAACAAGCACATGTGGGAAATACAAGAGAAGTGATTTGGGTTCTGACAGCGATTTGCTTTACTTCCAACAATAAAGGACAGAGAAACATCCCTGATTCATCTAAAACCAGAGTCTGAGATTCAACACATCCGTATGTCATCAAGATTACATTCCTCTTAAACATCTCCCTCTCTTTACTAAAATGTTCACATTTTGCTGCCTCATCTACTGTAGTTTGCTCCCGCAAAGCTTGTAAGAAATCCTCTTCTATAAGTATGTTTACATGCTTGGTTATAGTCAACACAGTGCAAAATTGCATTTGAAGGATTAAATACACACTGTCTGTTTTTCACACCAGGTGTACACTGGCAAGGCAAACTGTAGTCCACATGCTGGACAAAGCCAAGCAGCTGTTTATTCAGGTCTGTTAATATGACCTTGCATAAAACAGACTGGTTTGATTTCAGGACTAATGACATTTTAAAATGGCAAACTATTGTTTCGGTCCAGTGGAAATTACATTTTTAAAGTGCATGTAAACCATGTGCATTTAATGACAAGAATGCAGAATAAAAATGCAAAATGTGTAGCAAAAAATATGTTGCAGATCTTGTAACAAACACGTACTGAACTGAATCTGATAAAGGCCAAGCTGACTTGAGCTGGATAAAGACACTGCCTTTTGTAGAGCTGCTGTATGGCCGAATTGAATTTGTTTTATAATTGATGAACACTGACTATGTTACAAACTGAATCAACACTGAACTAAATTGAGCTGAATAATGGTGTTATTGTCTTTTATAGACATGCTTAACAGCTGAAATTGAAGTTGTTTCATAACTGATGAATTTTATAACTTTAACACTGTTCCTTTCCTGTTTATTACAGTGAAGTTGCTTTGAAACTATCTTGTATTGTATAAAGAGATACAAACAACTGTGACATGACTTGAAAATGATTTTTATGTAATGTAATGATTTAAATGATTTTTTTCTCCCCAAGTACGGAGTGACATTCCACATTTCATTGGGTGGCCTTCCTCTCATCACTTTGTATTCTTGACAGGCTTCAGACTGTGGCTCAATGCCTTAAAGAATTATGCCTCTCAATGGCGTAAGCTGATCAATATCGTAAGGCCACATTAACAGGGCACTCAAGGGTTTATAGGGGTCCTTTTCCACTCAAGGATCCAATCAGTTAAGTGCAGTTCAAGTGAAACCTAGGTCTGCAGTTATTGATCGCTATCTATTAAACACTCTCTCAACACTATTTCTTATCCTATGTTTCACTCACTTTAAAACCTCCCTTATTCTCTCTGTTTCAAATCCATCTATCCTATATTTATTCTTATCGTATTTAGTAAGTGAAATTCATAACACAGCATCCCAGCTCAACTCAAGCTCCTTGGTGAAATTTTCTTTCAGTAAGAGTTCAGTCTAGTAAATGAATACATATAGACAATTATACTGAAATACTCCCCAGCATGCTGGAATGTTTCTCCTACATACAGTAGTGCTGAAAGAGGACCAAACCCTCGGTCAGATCATTTACAACATACATTTCCATATTTAACTTTGGGTTATGAATGAGAGGTTGCCATAGTGTTTCTAACTTTCTATAGGGGTTTGATTTCATTTCGCCCTTACACACACACACACACACACACACACAACGTTTTTCTCTTGGGTTCTGCTCTGGCTCAGAGGTGTCACACGGCTCTTTCTTCTCCCGTTTAAGCTATGTTTGCTTTGACGTTGCCCACCCCTTCACTCCTCTCTTTTCACTTCTTCACTTCTTTTCATTCTCTCGCCCTTTCTTTTCATTTCTGCACTGGATCTGATGGCATTGCGCTCAGGAAAAACACAGCCGAGGAATGTTCGGCAAAAGCGTCTGCTCGCTGACAGCAAGATGGATGCTGTGACTGTGAGTGACGATCTATTGTGCCCCACGCAAGACTCACACATGCAGGCCCGGTAAAAATAAAGTGTCAAGGATACAGGGGAGCAATTCATTTCTCCTGTGCGACAGTGGCGTCTAAACTGGTGTATTTACATTCCAGCGAACAGATACACGTTGGGCTTACTCAGAGAGAAGAGAAAAAGAACAAGCTCTTCTTTTCTAAGATGAGTCAAAACAGTCATTGAAAACTAATTGGGCAGGTGCAAAATTAGCTACCAAATGTGTGATTGATGACACATGATGATTATCAGGCTCTTTTCATTATAGTTATGATTCAGATTAGTTTATGCAGAGCCAGAAATGATCTGCATATCCAAATGACTGCACCCTCAGACTGCTAAAGCCATTCTGCTATTGAACTGAATTTACTCGTTTTCACATTTGGCAGAATATCAGACATTCTAACCGAACTGATATATAACACATTAAAATATTATAGCTAATTCTTTATCATGTTTTAAGATGCAGACAGTTTCACCCACAGAGATGCACGCTTTTTTTCTTTCAGATATTCTATTTAATAAAGGGTAAGTGAAATCACAGAAATACACAAAGGGTGTTGTCAGTGTTAATGCTATTTTATTTGAATGAATATACATGAATTATATGCATTAGCTGCACCCATAAGCACTTTTAATAACCCAGAGAGTTATCTAATCTATCCGACTGCTGATAAACAGTCTGCTTTAAGAGTGATTCAGCTTGGTTTAGGCCGTCTTAAGGGTGGCCAGACAATTCAGTGCAAATCATGACAGTTCATTTCGTTTATGAATGAAGTTCCTAGTCCATTAAATTAAGCGTCCTGGGTTTTATTTCTTTACTTTTGGCGTAAGCAATAGGCTTAATATTCATGTTCCCCCAGCCAAGTTTTTCATGTAGAGATATTGTGTATTTCAAATATCTGTGTATGAAAATGTATTATTATTTTACAAATGCGCAATAAAATATAAATAATTGTAATAACAACAACAATAATAATATGTAAATAAATATTTGTCAATCTTACCAGCTCTGTCTGATATAATTTAATTCGATCATTTGAAGTATTGTATTTGTATTTTATTTGCAATATCACGCGAATAAAGAGAAAAATAAATTAATAAAGAAAGATAATAATAATAACAATAATAATAATAATAATAATAAAATAGAAAGTAATATTACTTACTGAATATGTCTGAAAATTAATTTTAACGACAGTGATAAAAGTGAGTGCACGGGCCAAAACCCGAGGCGGCTCGTTGGCAGACTTTTATCACATTGCTCTTCAGACGACAAAATACTGTTTATCTTTCTCGCTTCAGACTCTATAGACCACCTGTTCAATTTTTTTCCGATTTTTCTTTCTTCATTATAGGCTACGTGATGATGCCGACTATAAAGGCCTAGGCTACTAATGTAATAATGCAATAATCACTATAAATATTATTTTTTTTATTATTTAAACATTAAAGAAATATATCGCGTGTGGCACTGCGTGAAAAACATTAAAACACGCATCTTAACAAGCGGTATTGGATTACACAATTTTGTTTAAATATATTTCAGCGTACAATAAATATATTTTGTACAACGTACAGAAAACATGTGAGCCGAGCCTACGTTTCTTCAACTCCCATATTGTTTTATTTTTTACTTCAATTTTTTTTAATAATGCATAAAATCGTTTGCAAAACAGACCTTACAGTGAAGCTATAGATTCATTAAATATGTCCCTGAGACATTTGTTCAAACTTTAAGCTGTTCGATGCCGAGATTGGTAAAAATCGGCTGTAAATAGTAATACATTTTATTTGTTTAACTGATTGACAACAGTACTTGCTGCATTACCCCTAAACCATTATTTCAAAGTTTTAAAAATTAGAGATTTTTTTTTCTTCAAATCATTGCGCGAATTTTCCATAAATCTGTCACTTATATTGTTATACTGTACTGGTCCTTAAAGTTCCCTTCAGTAGATTCGAAACGCTTGCATTTAAAAAGAAAACACCCGCACTTTTCACTTGGCAGTCATGGCTGGTTTCGAACTCATCTCAAACAAATTGTACATGATGCGACGAAAGATCAACGATATGTCTTTGGTGATATGTTGTCGCCTTAAGCTACGCGCTTTCCAAAAATAATACAGAAATAAAATGTTGGACCTACCGACACACTCGTTGGCTTCTCTGGCAGTTGCGCGCTGCCAGGGTCGGTCATAGTGAAAAGGTTTGCATCTGTCACACTCTGGTCCGGCTGTATTATGCTTGCACTCGCACACTAGGTTTCCATCCCGGTCTTTGACGCACCGTGACGCGTGTCCATTACACTTACATCTGCCTCCGACCTGCAGGTCTGACACGGCGTAAAAATAAGAATCTCGGGCCAGCTCCGAGTCATCCTCATTTTCGTCTCCGAAAGTGTGCAGTCGGCTAAATGTCACCTTAATGTCTGTTGCGGTCACCCAGTCCTGAAGTACGGGTGAATTGTCAAAATCGTGCGCGGAGGGTCGCCCGTCCAGGGTGCTGAACGCGATCAACCCGCCGGAGAGAGGGTGCATGTCGGTGTGAGAATCTGTGCAGATGGCCTCTTGCTCGTTTTGCTTAGTGATCGTGGCTTTGCTGGGCTTGTTGTACATCTTTCTACACTGGGTCGAGTAGTACTGGAAAGGCACCCAAGACTTTCCGTAGTCCATTGATTTAAAGATAGCCATAGACTCTGGTCTTGGTGAGCAGAACTGCAAACTCACGTAGGTCACCTCGAATTTCTTGTCCAGGGATAATGTTAAAGTGACGTTTCGAGGATACTGGATGTAATTGTCCGACTGCCAGCAGGTGATATTATGAGGATTGTTCAGGTCGGTCAGGTAAGCAGGTGGGTGATATTTCTTTGGGTCCGACGCGTCGCACGTGTGGCAGTTTCTGTGCCTTTCATCCCCTTTCTCAGTCACCACACAGTACCGACTCGGTGTTTTGCCGCAGGTGCTGGACGCGCGCACTTCCTTCCCGAACGCCGCGTTCACGAAATCGGGGATGCATCTTGTGGGGTGACCGTACTCGTCGTAACACGGATCCGGTGGGGAAGTCTGAGCGGCGAACATGCTCATGCCGTATCCGCCGACAGTCCCTTTGAATACACAGTAGAGAGTCACCAAAGTGACCAAAGCATCCGAGACCCTCAACATCGTCACGCGCCTTCCTCAGTCTCTCCTGTGCTGAAACACAGCCGTGTCCTAATGAGAAGATGCTTTCACTGATCAATCCACAGCCGCTATGACACCGCGATCAAACCGGTGCCAAATAACAAACTAATGCGAATCTAAATCTACCTCCAGCATATGGGCAAACTCCTGGTCTCTCTCTCTCTCTCTCTCTCTCTCTTCTCTCTCTGTGTATCCGCTCTATGGAGAAAGAGCGGGACGCATCTTTACGCAGGGTTTTGAGCTCATTCATCTCCAGCAGTGACACTCGAGAGAACAACGACATCCACTGGTAGATTATCAATAAAACCAGAGCAGACGGGACTGAACAGAATTGAACAGAATATAGGCTAATAGAAGTGTAATTTATAATTTAGTTACTAATTCAGTATCTTTGCTCTAATTGTCGCGTAGCCTATATTTCATTTATAAAATAAAGGGTAGAGAGAGAGAAAAATATAAAAATAATGCTAGTTTTGTAGCAACAATATAAGTCGAGTTCAACAATAATAATGCTTATTTTAACAAGACTTGCACAAAACATGCATTTATAATTTATTATTTGGTTATTGTGTATTGGAAAATTAACTTAGGTTTTATTAGCCTGTGAGTTTATTTTTGTGATAAAGGTTTTCGTTTAGTGCCTCTTTATTTTAAATAGCATCCAAAGTTAATGACTTCCTTTAGTTTGATTTAGGCTACACTCTAAAAAATGCTGGGTTTTCAACCCAATTTTGGGTCAAATGTGGACTAACCCAAGTCCTAATGAGAAGATGCTTTCACTGATCAATCCACAGCCGCTATGACACCGCGATCAAACCGGTGCCAAATAACAAACTAATGCGAATCTAAATCTACCTCCAGCATATGGGCAAACTCCTGGATCTAAACCACTACGGAAGGTCCGACAATAATTACGCTTTCGCAATTAAAGAAAATCGCAATTGAAGAAATCTCCACACAGGTCACTGTACCTCCGTCAAACAGTTTAGCAAAAGCAGAAAAGTCAAAAAACAATCTCAGTTCGTGCTGGCTCTTTTTTTCCGTGAGTATTGGACACGCGCTTTCACTTGTCTGCTTGAATCTCTGCGCATGTCGAGGATATAAGAAGATCCCGTTAGTTTGAGCTTCATGCAAAATCAGCAAATAAGCTGTTATGTCTAACCAAAAATTATGTGGTTTGTTGTCGCGGTTTGCCTTTAATAACGGGAAGCTTATTAAATTGGTTACTAATAAATTGGTTACTAATCAGAACAATAGCCTAAGAATCAAACACGTACACTCTAAAAAATGCTGGGTTGTTTCAACCCAATGTTGGGTCAAATATGGACTAACCCAACTGTTGGGTTAAATTTTGGTTACATTTTTAAATTAACTTTTTAACCCAACAGTTGGGTTAGTCCATATTTGACCCAACATTGGGTTGAAACAACCCAGCATTTTTTAGAGTGTACGTGTTTGATTCTTAGGCTATTGTTCTGATTAGTAACCAATTTATTAGTAACCAATTTAATAAGCTTCCCGTTATTAAAGGCAAACCGCGACAACAAACCACATAATTTTTGGTTAGACATAACAGCTTATTTGCTGATTTTGCATGAAAAGTCGTGGTCTTCGCATTTCTAACACTTTTTAGATCAGATGTGGAATTCATGAATAGGCCTATACAAATATATAGTATATGTAGTAAATATATTTGCATTTTATAGGCCTATATACTAAAATAGACTATCCCAAACCCTGATCCAAGGTCTTTTTGCATTATTTAGACCCACTGTATTTATGAATATAAATAGGCTACATATTATTAATAATAATAAATACTATATATTAATAATAATTGTGACGCCACAAAGGGACGTTTGAATAGATTTAGTCAACTTCTGGGTTCAATTTTGTCTTAAAGTGTAGCTCAGTAAAGTATTGTTATTAGTTCCCAGTTAGCAAACAGCACTGGTTTTACAGAGCATGCATTTTATAAGCATATCATATATTTATGCCATGTAGGCTATGTCCAGTGTTTAGCCTAGGCCTATTTCATTATATATAAATATAAAAGTATTTGTTATTCATATATTTTTTCATTTAGAAATAAAACCAATTTCGCGACAGATATGCAACGCTATAATACATTGTTATACAAAAAGAAAGCAATGACAATAATAACAATAGGCCTAATATTTGTCGATGTGTCTGATACTCATCTTTAACGTCTACTTATTCAGTGGAAAGCACGCGAGCGATACCGTTGCTATAGTAACCTAAAAAGAAAAACGATACTTTTGGCTACAGATAATTCCATGCTCTGACAAAATTGTAATCTGTTGGTTATTTTGTTATTTATATTAGGCCTACTAAACTAAGTTTTGAGAGAGAAAAAAAGAGAAAAGAAATAAATAATTTGGAGTGATGGATTATATCGTCATTTCAACAGAGTTGTTGAAACGTACCTTTGAAATAGAACTGCAAGTTGACTGAAGTAGAGGATAAAGAGTTTTTATTTATATATATGTGTACACACACACACACACACACACACACAGCCTATATATAGGATAGTTTTCTCACCTATAATAAAGACACATTAAATGCTCCAACTACCGCCTCCAAACATTTCAAGAATAACAATCATATCAGCTGTAGGACTACCATGATATTTAATCAAACGGACATTCAAATTCACTGGTTATCTATATTAGCGACTTTCGTTAAGCACCGCCTGAATTTAGGTGGGAGATTTGAGCGAGAGGCATAACTGAACAGGGCGATGAAAGACGCATGCGCAAATGGGTGTCAGAATGCGTTTCACCTGAAGTCTGAAAATTTGATTATCCATGTGAATGTAAATTAAACCAAGGTTACATTTTCAAAGAGATCATTTTATGTATGTAGGCTATGTGTGTGTTTATTTATTTATTTACAAATACTAACGTGTTTGTATTAAACATTAGTAAATTATTACAAACAGGCCTTAAGTGATTTTATGTAGGATGCATATAGGAGCAGACTATTTATTTATTTTGTTTCTAAGCGAATACAGGCTTTTCTGTATTAAGATATTTGTGGCTTCCATTTGAGTATTTTCAAGCTCAGACGGCATATTCAACTCGTGTCACTGGTTTTGATAGTCTACCACACTGTTTAATAGATTATTCATGGGCTACAACACTAATCCACTGCAACCTAAACACCTTTTACTTGCTATTGCTCGGTTCGTTTATTGTTCTGCAACGCAGTTGGACCACTAGATGGCAGTATTTCATTTCCACTAAGTCAAGCTCATCCAATGTCGCCTATTAGCTAATAAACACCTGTCACATCTTTTGCTAGTGTGGATTTACATTACATATTCTAAGCTTCCTGTCCTTCGCTGGTCTGATCCCTCTGATTGGAAGCGTTAGCAGATAAGTTCCTTCTTTAGAATAGTCACAAACCATTCAATGAGTTCCACTCATCGTGATATTACAGTTAGGCCGACTAAGATGTTTGAGTTTTGAGAAAGGAAGAGGCAGAGAGTGACACAGAGAGAAAGACACTCTTACGGTAAAATGCTAATTTTGACCCCTGGGGAAGTTAAAAGTTGCTCTTATGCTGAGTATAGAGGCTGAGTCTGCAGTTAGACTAAAATACATGTCATTTTGTTATTTTAATAGCTCAATATCAAGCAATAAAACAACACAATAAATGGTGTGTACTTAACAAGGACCTTAATTAACTTTTTAAAAATAAAAATAAAATAATAGTTTTGATGCTGATAATGGAATGTGGGTACTCTTATGTTTGTGAACATTTACACATATCTACATGTTCAGTAATTAAAAAAAAACGTCATTTCTAAGACCAGCTTGCCATTCATGTCAGCTAAGACGTCTGTCAAAGAACAAAGCCTGCGTGTGCAAGTTAAACCTCCTCCCACTCATGAACACATGTAGCCCATGCCTTCCTCCTTCATCTGCACCTTCTCTCTCTGAGTTCCTGTTTAGTCGCACCAAAGTGCGGCAGGCATGCTGATGACTACTCCTGTTGTTGTTGCTGCCGTTGTTCAGCGTCTATGTAGGCTGATATAACTTGATGCTGAAGGATGTGGTTACATTTCCACCTCTTTTCATCATAAGCGCAGGATTACACTGCAAGGACATCGGTTCCGTCGCAGCCCACACATTGATAAGAGGCAAAGAAATCATGGGAAGAGGATAAGAACTCCAGGTAAGTGTTGCCTGTGGTGTATTCCTGTCTCGTGTTTGTTTTAATCTGAGCTCATGTAGCCTAGATAAAGAATAAAACTCAGAATTACAAGGCCAAGTCAGAGGACATGATGTGCAGGTGGATTCAAGCAAGCCCATGATTTGCTTTAGCCAGAATCAGAAACGTTTTGCTTCCTCCAGCTCACATGTTCACATGTGAAGATTCCCAATGCTCCATGACCCTTTAAATTGAGTTTTAAGACAGATGATGTTCATAGCTGAGGATGTCATGTGGAGACTTTACTATTCACAGATTTTGTGCAGTGAGGCATGCAAGATAGCTGTTCTGAATCTGTAATCTGTTGAATGATATTTATCTATGAAATACAGTAATGCAGTCATGTAATATACTCAGTTATTTGACAGCATTTGTGTTCTGTTATTTTACATGGCTCTATTACTTAAACGATTTGGAATTTTATACAGTAAACTGTAACGAAACTTTTTAAAAGTCTTTTAAAAGATGACTGCAAGACATTCACATGGGCTTCCTCTGTGGCGGACGGTCAGATGTAAAAACTGTGGCTAAGTCGGAGATCTTATCACATTCAAGCAGCAGACTTATAGCAGCCACTCTAGTTCTCACAGAAGATCCCTTAAGATAATGGGGGGTGCTGACTTATTTTTCTTCATACATGTATCATACATACATGCACATATAAACAAAGTCTGCAGATTCTAAGTGTTTTGTTGCAAAATACAATCAATCCCACAAATACAGCTGATGTTCCTTCTCTGCAGAGTCATATAGTTTGGATTCAGTTAAGAGACAAATGTACTGCGAATTCATAATATTTCATGCAACGGACACATATTTCCAAATAAAGATGGAGTATAAGCTTCTAAGATCTTATATATGCAGATGAATTTTACATTTTACTTGCAAATTAGTTTTCTTTTTAATACTGTCTGTAATATTCAAATGATATATTTGGTTTAATTTCCACCATAACATACAATAGTTCATAGTTCAAGTTCATAGTCACTCTGCAAGAACTGGCCTTCAGTGTATAGTTGACAGGAGCAAGTGCGATAGAACAGCTTTTAAGTAGAGAGATACTTCTCCTTTTCATGCACAAACAACATCCGACAGAAACTCTAATAATACATACACAAGGAAGTTACATTTTTTAGGCATTCGTGTGCTTGTCTATCAGCAAATTAAGGGAGAGGAATAATTATGTTACTGCTTAATTAAAACCATGAGATGGTAGGATTAGTTCATTTTAGCAGAAAGATAAAATAGATTTTACATACTTGTGAATATCTCAGTACAATACAACAACACAATGCAGTACACTCAATCAGTCAGTCAAAAAATAAATAAGCAAGCAATCAAGCAGGCAACATCACACAATTGATGCAACTGTAACTGCTTGTCACAAACTTTCAGCTGAGTGAAATAATAGGTTCCTCACTTAATAACAGTTCATTGGCTAAGTCTGAATTCCAGTTGATCTAAAATCTGCTGGACGATTGCGCAACTAGAGACTGGAAATGAAACTGGATGAAAGTTTCAGTGGTGATGTTCATCAGTGTGCGCATCATTGCTTTTAAACACTGTGGTCAACCCATAAAATGTCACTGGACAAAGCATATTTGTGCATGCACTGTAGGAAAGTTATAATAATGTATTTCAGTGTATTTCCTAAGTAGTACTAAAGTAGATTCCTAAAAGCCATATTCAGGCACAGTGATTTTATACGTAGCCTACATACAACTCTTACATTACACTTGCGTTAGCGGCTGTCATAACATGTTTTTGTCAGCCAGCTCATCTATGTTCAGAAATCGTTAGGTTGGAGTCATAATTTGAAGCGAAAGTGACTCCTTTGTAATCAGACATAGGCGTTGGTTGTGACACATGGAAGACACACTAAAGCTGTTTTGTGTTAAACCTCTTCCTGTTTGTATGACAGCAGGGTTCATATCTTTTCTATCAAATTCATATTCCCCACTGTTTTTTACCTGTGAGCTCATCACACCTGGCATGCACAAGATGTGTTCCTTTCTAAATATAGAATGTGCTTTATTTATTCTACATATTTATATTCCAATGACACTTATTTATATGCTAAATACAGCATAGAAACAAATACTTGACATGCTTTTGGCAGCATCATATCAGTTATTCATGATAAAATGAACTCAGAACACAGGAATTCTGTTTTAAACACACTGGTTTTAGAACAGCAACATTCGGACATTCAAAATATGTACAGCATTCCATCTTTACACGGGCACTCGCAGTGGTGGAAAGAGTACTACTGAAATCCCAGATGGCCTGACAGTGATTCAGCTAAAATATTAGCGTCTGAGACACTGTGAGCACGGATACTGTAGTGTGCACAGCACATTTTTAAATTCTTAGCTTATGATTTTTTTTTTTAATAATTTTTATTTTATTAAATCTTTTTTGCAAAAATCTTCTGCTGCTCTGTTCCCAAATCAAGTGAGCTGAAATATTTTCTAAAAGGTCTAAAATAGGTCTGCATGATTAATCGAATGCGATTGTAATGCGCATTTTGTTAAAAAAGCCGGTTCTGTAATCAGCAGGAAATCATCATCATGTGCTTTCAGATGGAGCAGAATTTACTACACATAGTTCACGTAGTTCACTGACAACTTACGCAAAAAAATTTTATTGCGCGATTATGAAATCGAAGAAATCGTTCGCGATAATGACAGCTGTTTGCATAGCTTCTCAGTGAACTACAGCTCTGTGAAGTAAATGCTGCTCCATCTGAAAGCATGTGAAAATACCACATTTAATAACATAT